TTTCTTGCCTTGGTTTGTGTCCGTGACATGGTACGAGGTCTTACCACCTGGGGCACAGTGAATATATAGGGGCCTGCAGTGATAATCCCAGTTTAGCGCCATGATCTCCCTCCCCTAGGAATGGATCTTGTCCCCCTGGGCCACTCCTATTCTGAACTTGGTATTGACGTATTTCAGCACCCGGTTCGACGCCCCAATATCGGTTCTCACTTCCGCAGGTTCTCCTACATCGATTCCGATCCTGGTTCTCTGTCCACCCATGAACCTTGCAAGATTTTGCCGAAGTACTCCTTGGGAAAGACTTGGTGATATTTCCGGGCCTCCGATTACGGTTCCAGGGCCTCCGGATCTCATGGCCCTGTCTATGCGCCTGGTTCTCATCCAGCCAAAACAGAGCGTACGCGGACGCTTTCACCATGCAGTTACCATATTAACGTTGACGACGCATGTTCTGCTCCCCTGGCTGTTCACATTCTTTCGATGGGGATTTTCCAACCTTTGGTCGGGTTCCGGAGACCCATGGCTTCCTCCCCTCCCCTCTCTCTCTCTCTCTCTCTCTCTCTCTCTCTCTCTCTCTCTCTCTGATGTGGTAATTCAACGTATGTACCTTTCATGAAACCCCTGCCTTGTCATCCCATGCTTCCCTTGCACGTCTCCCCCCAAAAAATCATGCCGCTGCCAGCGAGCGAAGACATAGACATGGGGCCCTTGGCTATTATGTGACACGCCCCATTCCCCACCAATGCCTGTCAACATTGGAGGGGGGGAGGTGGGGGTAGCACCTTCGCAGGGCCTCGAACCCCGTCAGAATTTTAGCAAGAATCGCAACCAGAACACCAGTACACCCGCACCTAAAATCTCGAAGCTACCTGCCCACTGCACGCCGCTATTTTCCGAGCCTTCTGCGTGTGGGTACCTGCAGTGGGAATTTCGGAAGTGGCACCGGTGCCGACTGTCTACCTGAAGGGGGAAAAAAAAAAACACAAGAAAGGAAAAAACATGCCAGAGATCAATAATGTCGTGGAAGGAAGTCAGGGAGGCCATACTCAAACAATCACTTCCCAGAATGCATCTGGCCACTATTGAGGGGGAGCGAAACATTGTTGTTTTTACTTTTTTTTTCCTTTTATTTTTTTCCTCCCTTTCACTGCCAGCGAGCAGCGCATATTCCTCTTACTCAAAACGCCCTCGCTGAGGGCACACTCACACCAGCGCCGTTGAAATGCATCCAACCACTCTCACTGCCGACGCTTTGTTGTCTAATTTTTTTTTTTTTTTTTTTTTTTGTAAGCCTAACAGTCGTGCTCCCCGTGTTCCTCGTTCTCCCGAAGTGCCCTTGCTGAGGGCAGTACTCCAAAAAGTGTATCCAAGGGCATCGGGTTGGAACCTTCATTGATGGGGCCCAGACCTCCGTGAGTAGTCAGTAGCGTTCTGGTACCTATACTTAGAGAGTAGTCAAGGTCAAATCAAGCCCGGTGCGAGATTACTCTGATTTTAAAGGAGAAATACAGGAATCTACGCTGATCATATAATCTCCAGTGGCCCAGTGGGTGTATCATCTCGAATTCTTAAGATGATGCCTACGTACTGGATAGAACTAGGATTCAAGGCTTGATCTGGCGCCAGAATGGGGAGAGGTGCTAAGTACCTGGGACAGCAGAAGAGTATGTTCGATGAATACGTTGTCTTTGGTTCTATGATTGTTCCGTAAGGGACGCTGGACCCGTTTTCCAGCAGGTGTAGCTCCCCACGAATAGACCGGAGCCATCTATCATCGCCCGTCCCTATCACTTGGGGCTCTTACACCCAGGTGGCAGGGGCTGAGGTCGGCCTGATGTTAAGCCGGAAAAAAAAAAAAAAAAAAAAAAAGTGCATCCAAGTGCAATCACGTCCAAAGCTTGTTTCGTTTTTTGGGACGTACGGATTTGACATGGGCCCGAAAATTTGAAAATCTTCTGACGCTCCACCCCTGCCCCGAGCCCGCCTTTTACTTCTTGTGCTATAAGCCTTGCTCCACCACCTAAGATTGACAAAAAAAAAAATAAAAAAAAAAAAAATTGAAATGACATTATAGACTGAATCTGCACATTGAAAGGAATCGAGCATTCTGAATGGCATCGGAACAATACCCAGCCCCAGGGACCACTGGCCAACCCTTGAACATATAGCAACGCATAGATGGTCAGCAGAGGAGGGCAGAGGTGTGTGGAAACGCGTGCCCAAGGTTGTGCCTTCTGCTGGAGGCCAAGACGAGGCGGCAATCTCATTACATGAGATTGTTTTTCTCTCAATGAAGACAACACCATGATCCCATGCATGTGACTGTCAGTAGCGGAAGGGCCTCACTCACCAGAAGTCGCAAACATTTGAACTTTGGGACGAGCCGCGATTTTCTGGGATGCATGTTGATGAGTCTCAGGAGAAGCGTTGGATGTATCGCACTTCACAAAAACCAGCAATGCATTGTAGATTGAGATGGCTCAAACTCATTTCGTATAAGGGACGCTGGACCCGTTTTCCAGCAAGTGATGCTCCCCACCAATAGATGGAGCCTCTCCCCAGGTGCTAGTGGTGTCTGCCCTTGTCAGCACCACAAGCACTGGGGTGTTGTTTAAAAAAAAAAAAAAGCAATGTATTGTAGATCGCACTTCACAAAAACCAGCAATGTATTGTAGATGGCAAACCTGTCTCTCAAAGTCTGCCCAAGGTTTCTCTTCCCACTCCAACCGTCAACAAAAAACGGCGGTGATTGGCTCCTGTCTTCACATAGCTCGGCCTTCTACCACTCCACAGGGATCTGCAGTACCTTTTTCCAATCACGCTGAAAATTGAGCTCTGCCGCCGACTCGGAGGTTATCCAGATAATTATGGTGCTGGGATCATTGGGTTCCTTTCTCGACTCGATGGGACAGATTGTTTTCCTGTGGAGACGTTGGAAGTCGACACACTGCCGCGTCTGATGTCCGCCGGTTAGCGGACGGCGGTTCTTTTCTGTGAGTGATGTGGCTCGAATTAGAGCTGTTTGTAGAGTCAGTTAATAAATACATCGCTCATGGGATTTTGTATTATTATTATTTTTTGGGGGGGGCTTCAAAAGGAGAAACTCTATGGCGGTGGAGTTCGAACAGCCGCATTCTGTCGGCGAGTGAGATCCAGAGCCTTTGGCCGTATCTGCTGAGGGAGGCTTCCATTAGACAACTGGCAATTTGATGTGTGGCGATTTTTTGCGACAAAGGAACAAGTAGAGGCTTTGAACCAATGACTTGTCGCTTGTGTTCTTGGATAGATGTTTAGTAGTTGGCACTTCTTTCATTGTCGAAATTCGAACCTACAACCGGTGGATAGCGAGTCCTTTCTCAGTACTGTTTTTTACAGCTTGAATCTTGACTATTTCTGCAATAAGGTCCTGAACGGCGGCGCTGATTCTGCTGAAGGCTGTCGTTAGTTCTACCGTCTTCACCCGAATAGAACACCCGGTAATTATGGGCGTATCTGGACTGAAAAATGCATCAAATACAGCTATTATAATGACCGGGCGTTCTATTCGGGTGAAGACGGGAGCTTTTGGACCTGCAGAGACCGACCAGTTCCTTTGCTATATTAGGACCGAACCGTCCAGTCCTATGGTGAACTGCGACAGAGAAGACCCCTGATGACCCTGGTATGGCGATCAGATGAAACCAGTAGGGTCATACACTGCACGCGGATGGTAGTTTCGTCCCCACAGACCGGAGTTACTTCATGTTTTTCATTTGAAACTCCATACGGGTCCCGTTCGGGGGGGGGTTACCTTGGTATCCTGTCAGGGTTATGCCGAGTTTCTGGCGCTTCCATCATGGCCATCCTCTCCGTCTCTCCCACCTCCCTCCTCGTCCTCCTTTCTCTCTTCTCTCCCCCCCTCCATTCTTCTCGCTGTCATTTCTATGTCGATCTAAATCTGTGGATCCATTGTATTTGGTCTTGAAGTCCGGTCTTGTGAATGTCATTGATGCTAGCAAGAATCAACACAACATTTCCGCTGGTGCTGTTTTTCACATTCCCGGGAAGCGAAGTAATAATTTTGTGAAGACCTCCAACAGTGCTTACGAAGTGCTGGATCTCATACAGGCCGTTGACATATGTCACTCGATTTGCAGTTGCACTGGCCTAGACGCGCAACCTTGCGACCGCGAAGGCATGGCAGGCTCTGCCAAATTGCTATAAAAGACCCTAGTGTGACTATGCCCCTACTGGGCCATTAAAAACGGTTCCGGCCACAGAGTTCTTAAAAAGGGCCTTGCCAACTGCAGATTCTTACCAGTGACTACCGTCTTCTCCCGAACATAACGCACCCTAAAAATGAATGTATACAATCTATATTTCCGGCCAGATGCAGCCAAAATAAGGCTGCATTGGGTTCGGGGGAAGACGATAGAGCATCTTCTTACCCATTCGAAATGATAGCTCCAAAGAATGAGCTCCCTAAGGCTGCAGCTGTCACTGATTTGACCCATAACAACCAGGACGGCTGTTAATCTCAACACCGCTTGCACTAAATGTATACAAGCTATATTTCCGGCCAGATACAGCCAAAATAAGGGTGCATTGTCAACGACTTTAACATCATGGTGCAGACGACGACGCTGGCTCACTGTACATCAAGGTGCATCCACGCAGCAGGATTTGGCAGATGACTGCTACCTTCTTCGCCCAAATACATCGCGTACAGTCATTATCACTAAATCTAGTCTCAAAGTTGCCCTCAAATCATGGTAACTGTCCCGACGTCCGGACCCGGTTCCAGACAGTGCGGAGCCAAATGTCTGGGTCCGGTGTCCGGTAATGAAGGTCCGGAGATAGGGGCCCGAGCACAAAATCAAAAAAAAAAAACGGCCAGCCCAGGACGCTTACCGGGTCCCAGGGGCCCTCTGAAAATAGTGGCCTGAATTTTCAGGCACTTTTGGGCCTACCGGACGCTACCGGACACAGGTGGGTCAGGGTGTTCTGTTGAGTGGTTGGCGGGGTGATTTCGATTTTGCCAATTTCAAATCCCCCGCCCGGCCTTCGTTGCTGCCAGCTCCCTCGTGTTCCCCGCCCGTCGTTGCTGCCAGGTCCCTCATGTGTGGCATCTGCCGAAGGCCTCGCTGAAGCCATCGCCAACCAGCCGCCCGGAGTCAAGCCATCGCCGAACCCATCGTCGAGCAGCCGCTGCTAGGAGTCACAGCCAGCCGCCCCCAGTCGACGACGACGCCAGCTTGCCAACAGGTCGGTCTCTCTCTCTCTCTCTCTCTCTCTCTCTCTCTCTCTCTCTCTCTCTCTCTCGTCGCGTTCGGTCTCATCGCTGTTCCATGTCGGGTTACGGGTTCTCTCTATCTCTCTCTCCATCTCTCTCTCTCTCTCTCGTCGCGTTCGGTCTCATCGCTGTTCCATGTCGGGGTTACGGGTTCTCTCTCTCTCTCTCTCTCTCTCTCTCTCTCTCTCTCTCTCTCTCTCTCTCTCTCTCTCTCTCTCTCTCTCTCT